GTTTAAACATAATAATCTATATTTTGAGAAATAATTATTATTGTTTCTAAATAAATTTATATGTAAAAACTGTTTTTACGTAAAAATCAAAGAATAATTCAGAATACTTTTTTGATAACCTAGCACAGCGGATTAATAAGATTCGCTATCCGATCGCTCTCGCAGATAACAAGCAATATAATTTAATAAAAACAGTTCGATCAGATTTCAGTTTAACCTTGTCAATCGCAGTCAAAGAGAGTTATCCTGGAATCCCTTTGAATCGCGATGCACACATAATTCAGGAATCATGATCGACGTGCGTAGGTGCATTTAATCGGCGCGGCGCAGCGATTTCACAATCCAACAAGGAGGAGGATGTCGCATTGATCTCATCGAACACGTCCCTTTTTTCTCGATTCAACGAGATGTCGCATCGGTATGCTGCCGTTCATCGGCAAACGTCGGTTTCACGCCAATCATTGCTCGCCGCGGTTAATTGTCGAACGCAAAATTTCATCGGTCTCTTTCGAGTATCTGGTTCGTCGGCAGACGCACCAGATATATGCATTCATTCAGTCCATTCCACAAGTTGACGTTAAACGTAGCCGGCCACGTTGCGCGTGCCTAAAAGCTAGTCCGCAAGAATTATAATCCACGAACGAAGCTGGCGGATATTAGCGATAATCGCTTTCCCTGTGCCTGATTTGCGCGTTCAATCACGTCACGTCCTCGTCACGTTCTCGTCCTCATCCTCTTTTCTAATTTCGAATGCCCGTGCCGATGCATGCATCGGACAATCTTGCAACATTAAACATCGTGGCGAGGAACTATAATGATTGCACTACTGGTGGGCGTTGTCGAGTAGATGACGTAGTTGTTTGAAGCAACCATCGACCGGGTAAACTGCCGGGTGCAAAAATTTATGTACACGTGCGGCGTGACACCTGGGTGTTATGTACGAATTTCCAATAATAGCACGCAGTGGTATAACGCGTGTACTATGCGTGAATACGTTAATTTCGCTATACCATATTTCGTAATGTAGTACCTTCTAAGCTCTCCGTATATAATTAATCCTTCCAAGAAGACTAATTTACCTGATCAATATCCTCTATATTCCCGTTATAATATTCTAATTACAGAGATGAATCAATTTCAATGCTTCATTAAATCCTTTAATAAGATAAGATTTAGCAAGCTTAATTGAAAAATTCATGAATTCGAAAGCATCTATTCTTATTATTTACGTACAATCTTGTAATCTTGTAAGAGCAGTTATATATAATATATGAATATATGATAGCGATGCGCAAGAAATACGCAGCTAGCTATATTTATAGCGAAGTTTAAACATATATTTATAAAAGTCATCTAGAATTTATGAGAATATATACTTAATTATCTTTCTAAAGGATACACCGTGATCTCTCCTGTGAAATCAGTTGTATTAACGTTAGAACAATTGAGATTGCATGTTGTTTATGAAAAATGAAATATGGAGAAAATTATAGAGTTCTATTTAATATGAACGTCGCGTTTTATTATAAGTTTTATAAAATATATTCTTCTAATTTTCCTCAATTATTTCTTTTCTATATATCTTTTTTTTCATAATCTTTGCAACAAGATTTTGTACTCTTCAAACATGATTGTGTTACGCTTTCTAGGAGCGTCGAAACGCCTCGGTAACATAAAATTGTGTTAAGTATTATAGCGACGAGATTTTCCGATATAAAAAGACCAATGTACATTATATTCCATTTAGAAAGCAGAAGAACGAAGCTTAAGAAACGCAAATTGTAAATAATAGTGGTTGCGTTCAGCAGAGAAAACTGATCAGTGAGGCTTAGTAATTCTTTTATATGATTGATCTTGCCTTTAGTTCTTCGCTGGATCTAAATGTAAGAACCAATCATATTAAAGATTCACTGATCAGTTTTCTTTGCTGAACGCAGCCATTTGTCATTCAAACGGCTGGCGCTTTTGTAAATATGAAATATAATTGCCTGATAAAATGCAGTCTAATAGACTTCGTTGACATTTATTTGTGACATTTATTAGCCCAAATCTTTAATCATTATCTTTAAAATATAAGAGGTTTCTACCAGGTCATTATAATAAATGAGCTTTAAAGATGTAAACATTAACATCCTTTATTATTCTTTTTTCTATTATTTCATAGAACGTTTCGACCGTACTTAGTCTCTTCAGCCATGTTTAAAAATAATAAGAACATATTAAAAACTTATAAATTAATTTTGATGACGGTATACAAAAATATTAATCGGATCAACTCATCTACAATCACAATATGCATTACTAACTCAACCATGTTATACTGAGTCAAATGAAACATATATAAAATGTAGATCCAAACCAATTCTTCGATTAACAATGAGAAAGGGTAGTCAAAGTGGTCAGATTATCTTTTCTGATTACTTTGACTACCCTTTCTCGTTGTTAACCGAAGAATTGGTCTGGATCTACATTTTATATAAGTTTTAGAATTTGACTCAGTATAACATGATTGAGTTAGTAATGCATATTGTGATTGTAGATGAGTTGATCCGATTAATACTTTTGTATACCGTCATCGAAATTAATTTATAAGTTTTTAATATGTTCTTATAATTATTGTTAAGGATTATTTTTAAACATGGCTGAAAAGATCGAAACGTTCCGAAATGATAGAAAAAACATAATGAAGGATTAATGTTTACATATTTAAAGCTCGTTTATTATAATGACCTGATAGAAGCCTCTTATTTTATTGAGTGAAATTTATACGAGCGATTTATCTAATATTTTTATTGTAATTAATTATCTTTAAAGATAATTACATTCAATATTGCGGCATCATACGATATCACGTTTGCGATATTCATGCCAATATCTCATTCCTTTATTCATATGGTATAGAAATCGATTGCACGTATTGATATCGCTCTTAGAATCCATTCGCTGCAATAAAAATTTTGTGACTGCATATCGTAATAACGTAATAATTTCATGGATGCAATCGAATAACGTGATACGTGGAGTATCTAATCTGGAGGATATTAATTTAAGGAAGCAAAGGCCTTGGTACAACGATAACAGTCGTTCGCTAGCACCGATCATATCTTCCAGAGCTCATTGTATGATTTTAAAAGCTTGTTACGAGATATGCTTGAATGTTGTGGCGCACTCCTATTTCTTTAACGCGTTATTGACGTCATTGAACATGTTATCGCGAATAAAACCTATTCATGTTTGATATAATCTGCCGCATGTATGAAGTCTTTGTTTTTTCTTTGCGATAGTTTTGTCAGAAATCGATAGCTGTCGTTACAAGCAATGTTACAGCAATGAAAGGAAATCGATTTTAATTTCGAATACATATCGCGTGACGCTGATACGTTTTTTAATTAATAGCGTGAATAATCGTGAGTTGGCAATTTATAGAGGCAGACCATATACGGATAATATTTAATAGTTTGGTAACTATTAAATGTCATCCGATCCGGACGAAATGCGTTATTAAATACTTGTAACGCATGCGCTTGAATACCGATCATAAATTGCATAATTATTGGATCGCGCGCGTCTGATTGTATTGCGCTCTCAAAATTCGCGCCCCGTCATGCTTCGTCAATTTTCATTAAATAGTGTCGACGCGCATCCCAGTTTTCTCGATTGCGTAATTTTCAGCAGTCCAGTTTCGCGTGTGCGTGCATGAATATAAGGGCTTATCGTATTTATTCGCACCGATAAAGTTGCATTATGCGATAGAGCGACGGGATGTTATATGACTGCGTTCGGGGATAATGTAAACGCGCGAGATCCACAGCGAGAATCTCCATAACTCTGACAAGTTGTTGAAAAAGTTATGTAAAAGAAGCTGTCAAGCTTGGCCGTTAATGTCAAAATTACTGGCGAGAAATTAAAATTCTTATGGCGTTTTTCTAATGGTTTTCTTTGTAAATTAAAATTTCACAAAGTTCACGATGCTGCCATGTGCGATAAAATGCATTAAAAAGTTTTTAACACTTTAATGTGACATTAATAATCCTCGGCTTTTGCTTAAAATATGCAGTGTTTATTAATTACACAAGCATATCTTGTTTGTAAAACACGAAATTTTGTTTGCAAATTATAATTAATTGAAACAAAATTTCCGAGATCAGAAAATGAATCAAATCATCAATTCTCTTGGATTCTTAATTGAATTTTGCGTATTCATTTTTTCTTCGCTCTTCATTTTCATTCCTTTGAAAATAAAACTCTGATTTTAAAAATTTCATTTGCACGTAATACCCGAATTAAAAAATTTAAATTATCTAACTCACGAATAATCGTTTTGCTCTCTTAAACTTCTTAACTTACCCCGAAGCGATCAAATTTTCCACAGGTTTCTGATAGAGAGTAAATTAATTATCATAATGATAATTATTGGCTTTTAAAGTGATTGCCGAAAAAATAATAAAGACGAACGATATTTTTTATTATTCTGAACGACCGTTATTTTTCATACAATTCGCGAATGTGTCCCGCCGAGAGTCATAGCAAAAAGTTTATGCGCGAAGTATATCAGAGAGACATTTATTGCGGGAAATGTTCTTATATTTTCACCATTAGAGAAGACACCGTCGAGGTGAACCAACGTGAAACTTATCACTATGAAAAGCCATCGTTTTCTCCTGTGCACTATTAAATGTAGTCCTCGTATCGATGATACGCGAGCGAAGGCACACTCGATGAATATTCTCCACGAAATTATAAAGACATCCCCCCCCCCCCCCCGGACTTCCAAAACTAAGTACTCCCGTCAGTATCGTTGCTAATGGACGCTAACTTAAGATAGGAAGTGAGATTTTCTAGCATGCCGTGGTTGATCTTGGTTACCGTTCTCCGCTCTTTGTACTCTCTTCCTTCCCTTCCCCCCTCCTCTCCCTCCCCCCCTCTCTCTCTCTCTTAAATCGGAAGCGCGTCTTCGCTTAACCGGAAGTGCGCGTACTTGAAAACAATTGAAAACTCACCGGGAATTAAAGCGGGATAGGAGCGAATCGGAGAATGTCGATCCTCGAAAAAATTCCTCGCACGCGTTCACGCGTTACGACATATGCATAAGCGTATGCATAAGCGCGATGCGCGATACGGGATCGTAAGGGTTGGAACGGGCGGTCGCAACGGGCCGCGCGCCTCGACGATACTGGCCGGCCGTCTCGCGGCACTCGCCTAGTCGCCTCGCGACGCCGGCAGCCCAGAGCCCAGAGCGCGTACTCCAGACGCCGACCTATCGCGGCACTCGCCCGTCGCCAAAACTCGGCTCTCGAGGTCCACTGCCTCGATTTCCACGGTTTCCGCACCACCGATCAGCTTTTCACGATACAGCTTTTCACCGAAAACCCCCCGTCCTAATCGGAATCGGAAGCGGAACCGAAAATATGCACTCTCGCACACAGGAAGCGTATGTTTCCTTGAGGGAAATGGAGAAAGAAAGAAAGGGAGAGGGCTCCGTCTTGTAGCATTGAAGCAAATAAAATTGTATGTATGCACGAGGATGGATTTATAGTTTACAAAGTTTTTCTTCCCTTTCTCTTTCAATCGAGACATTGCCGTTTCCACGGTGTAATATGCGATACGTAAATCCTGTATCACATTCGTATCTGGGATTTTGGATTTATCGACAGCTATGTGTCATACATTTTTTTTTTTGGAGATTGGTATTTCCAATTTCTCATTTCTCTGGCCGGTATCGGCTGAATTTTCTACTATTGATAAAGTTAATTCGGAGCGCTGTGTTAATTCACCAAACTGCCGATTTAAATATCGAAATTTATGAATTTTACAGAAAATTATATTTACTTTATCTATTAATGTTTCAGTGTATATGTATTACATTTATTTGTTCAATCTTAATTTAATATTTTAAATATCATTTATATTTCGATAGCTTCTGAAGATAGCTACGAATATAATAGATGTAAATGATTACATTTCTTTTGAGGGTTAAATTGATGCTTATAAAATGCTCATGCAAATAAAATAATTATGTTTTTGATTTTTTGCGTGCTATATCAAAAATAATAAATTGCGATAATTCGATAGTGAAACTTCTGTTAACTTTCTACAACGACCATTCATATAATGTTGATTTTATAACAAGTCATTTTATTGCTTACAACAATCCCATTTATATATATATTAAAAATCATACGGTTGACTTTTCTCCTGTTCCCTGCCACTCAATTTTACGTTGAAATTCAATCTCGAGTTTATCGATGTGTGCGCTTTATTTGCTTCTCTGTAGAATGTATCAATTGCAGTCAATAATTTTTGTCTATCAAAGAGTTATTTTGAATCTATCGATGAGCAACGAAACTATTTTTATTATAACTCAGAATGAATGAGATATTTCTTAATAATATAATAACTTCTATATAGTTTGTCAATCGAATCTTCGTTATTTCTATATAATTTGTCAATCAATCCTTCCTTATTTGCTATTTAAAATTTTTGCAAAACTTTTTGCATAATCGAAATTGTAGACTGATCAAAATCAGAATTTATATTAATTATTTATCTTTATTTTTTTAACTATGCAACTCCTTGAACACTCTAAAAAATAACGGTGTCTATAATTCTCACTATGGTGGTATTAATATTAACATCAATATGATGTGGATTTAACATCATGGATTTTAAATCTTACATCATAATGGTGTTGATGTAAACACCAGAGGTTTGAAATCCAAACCATGATATTAATATAAACACGAACACAGTGAGAATTATATATATATATAATATATATACGACATGAGTGTTAAATCCACATCGACATTTTTTAGAGTGAAGTGTTAATAAATTAGTATTCAGAAAAGCGACGTATTACTAATGTTGTCGATAAGTTGTATTTTCCAAAAATTTAACCCGCCTGTATAGGAAGTGATAAGCGAAATATTGTCTTCAAATGCTCACGTGATCGGAAAAGGATGCCGGTTATAACTCAATTTCACTGTGCGAAAAAGAAACGTACGTTTTTTATTTATTATTTGAGAGAAACATGAGGTTTTTTCCACGCTTTGGAGAAAATTTGTATACTTTTATATTACGTGCGGTGGAATTATTAACTGTGAAATGCATTTGGAATTAATAATTTTAAATTGATGTTACATTCGTTTCATAAGAATCACTACTGTTCTCTGTGCGCTGACTGAAATTCAGTTACAGTAAAATATACCGGTGGATTGTTGACCGGAATAAAAATGACATTGCACGCAAATCGAACAGTAATTATGCGTGCAATATATGCGTTTCATAACAATTCATTATTTTACGAAACAACATGACTTTACAATTCTCTGAAGTACACTCATATAATGGAATATAGGTGTGATTGAAATTATATTTATGTTCCGATCTATTTTAAGACTAGATTAGATACGAAACGTATATTTATTTATAACGTTAAAAAAGTATTCACGACTTATACTTTTGACAAATCCTTGCAATACATTTTTGCATACGCTCAGTATATTGCACACATAAATTTCTACGAAATAAATTGTAATAGGATTATCTATACAATTGATTTCATTTCCGTCGAAATATTGCATTGACATCATACCACTGTAGGAGAACATACGTTTTTATTGATCCATTATCTAATAGAAACAATAGAGCTGATGTGACGTCTCATCGTGTTGTTATAAGTGCAATTTTAGTCACCGGACATTTAACATTAAGTAAAACTACGAAAGTATTTTTTGCAAAAGATATAAGATTATTTTCTGCTAAAGATATAATAAGAGAGTTAATATCTCATATCTGTATTCTCACGCGCGAAGTATGACTACAGTAATTTTAGTTAAAAAATTTTTTAAATTTCATTTACTAACCAGTTTTATCATACAGTCAACGTTTCAATCCATTGAATATTCACAAGTAATGGAATAAGTTTTCCTAATGATAAATAATAATAACGAAAAAATAAATAACGAAAAAGCAATTTGCTTCAATGAAAACGTGGAATATTCTCCGCAAGCGCTTGCACCATTTAGGTCAATAAAAATTTCTAGAATATTAATATAAACTGAAAAGAGGGAATGAGAGAAAGAGAGAGAGAGAGAGAGAGAGAGAGGGGGGGGGGAGAAGGGAGAAATAGAAAATACATTGCATTTAATATAAATATTATTTAAATTATAAGTAAAAAATTAGAAAAAAAGAATACGGGATAAAACAAATATTCATATTTATTTCTCTTCATTCTCTCTTCTCTTTCCTGATACTATTTCACATATTTCGCTTCTTCATGTCATATGCAACACTATAAATATGTATCTGTGGTATCTCTGTTTTTTTATTTGAAAACATGTAACTTGAATGACAAGTCATATGCGTGACGAGATAAATCTCATGGGTGTCGCGTATTTCCGGAATTTTTGTCGCGTTTCAACCGTACTCTCTAATTACACGGATAATCGAATTGGCAAAAAAAAAGTATGATCGGGATTATACCAGTGGGCGTATTGTAAGCTCGATGATTGGAATATTTTCAATTACTTATGCACACAATGCAACGCTTTCAATTGTCACTTTGACCGAATGAACGTTCAGCCAATTATAGTGTAGACGCAATATTGAAATGACACGATCACTGGCACACGCGTCAAAAAGAAAATAAGAAAGTAAGTACAATTGGAAATGCATAAACGGCTGTAAATCCTGTTATTAATATAATGGCACATGTAACAACTTCCTGTCGTTTGATATATAAGAGTTACTTTGTAAAATTAATTATAATATAAAAATAGATGGTTTAATGAAACTCTCTCTCGTTCAAAATTGTCAAGTTTTTATTTGTTTTACAAAAATTATTGGTTACGTTCCAGAACATTACGATCAATTTCGAATAAATTTTTACATCGTTGCTCTGTAAGCAATAATATACGAGTAATAAACACGCACAAACACATGCAATTCAAAGCTCTGTTTACTATTGGTATCTCGCATAATTTATGTGAATCGTCCAATTGAAAACTGTGCCAAAGTCTTTTAAATACGATTTGATTTTGTGTAATTAATATAATTACGTGCCCCCTTGTCGTCCATTTTATAAGTCTCGCGTAACTTAATCTTTCATCATTGCTCGCATTCGCTGTCTAATTACATTCCCTCGTATCTCTACGTATATAAAGGAAATCGACCAAATTTCAATTAACTTCAACTAATAATTATGAGAAGAATTCTAAAGCGATAGCAGAAACAAATTAGCGTGACTATTGCTAGTTAGCTTTGAGCCGAACAATGTACTCTACATTAATTTGTTCAGTAATTCTATCACATCAATCGTATTTCATTAATGGATATTCTTAAATAATTACAAAGTATGAAAACTAAAAAGCAACTTGCAGTATTTTGCCTCAAGCAAAATTGCAAGACTAAAAGAGGAGATGGAGTAACAATACCTAAATAAGTGCGTTCAAAAATACGTAAAAAGCAGGTCGAAAGGTTTTTCGTCGAAATTCTCTCTCGCGTTGCACTCATTTTAATTGAATCAATTACACGTTCCATTATTTGAAGCGCCCGTGAATTGTCGTCTGTTTCCAATTCTTTGGATCCGACGCATCGGGAAAAATACTTTATCACTATCCACATGGTGTGACGTACGAGCTTTCCGCAATACATTTTTTCTTCTCATGTTTCCATTCAGACAGAATTGCACATAGATATCCGTATTATTTCAGATTGTTCCGATGTCAAAGAGGCAATGTTAGCCATGTCTAACTTTGCTCCAAGGGAGAACCGTTATTTCGGGATGAAATAGAGCTTGCGAAGATTGCGTAGTTGTTATCCATGTAATATAGATAAGTTATGTGAAAAATATCTAGTAAAGGGATGTATACATGTGTATATATATATATATATATATATATATATATATATATTAGGTGTTGGAATTAATTCGTAGCGTTTTTTAATGAAAGAATGTTATTTATTTCACATGAGCATTAAAAAATACATTAATGAAAGTACTTCCCATCACTTGTAAAACGCTACGAATTAATTCCAACACCTAATATATATATATATATATAGCGACATAATTTGATTTGCAATTTATCATTTTAATATTGTAACGTTGGTAAATAAAAACAGGCTCTAATAAATAAAACATTCTTGTTTATATAA